CCTGTGCAGAGACCATGGTGTGGAATGCACTGGTGGGGAAGGAAACGCGTGGTCATTCTTATTGCAAGGAGAAGCGTCAGGCTGAACTGGCGCTTGGACATGCTGGGGTTACTGTTGTGGTTTTTTGTAAATCAAGGAGTGCTACTGAAATCCAGTGCCTATGGAGCAGGTGGTGGAGGTCTGAGGCTCTGTGACATCTACAGTGATGCTTCCGAATGCAAAACACAAGAGTGGATTTCACGGGCTGTGAATCTGATTTGATTTTGATAGGAGTAAAGCCTCCATTTTCTCTGAACTTGAACCACTGAAAGAAATAATGTGTGGATGATACAAGCTAGCTAGCTAAGAAAAAGGAGCGCATTAAATATTATTCCCAAAAAGTGAGTGGTTAAAGTGAATGAATACTTGTTTATGTCATTACAGCGGGATTACATTTGTACCTAATACCACCATTTTAACCTATATAATATTTCATCAGAATAGCCTAAAGTAAGTTAAAACTTACTTTTTTTTAAGATAAAACAGAAATTTGTCTAAGGCAATAAGCCTTGTTTTTTTTAAAAGGCAGGGCCACGCTGCAGGCTAATTACTGAAATGTGCACTTAGTTAATATGTCCAGAACATCTCTTCCTCTCAGGTACGTGGGTCTAAACCATGAGTGGCCAGTGCACTGGCTAGAGCTAGTCCCGTGCAGCCCAAGGTGCCCAGAAAATGAACCAGCCCTGTACCTTCTTTGGCCTCCTGCCCCTGCAAGTCCCCAAGTTCACCAGAGATCACGGCAGTGATGGAGCGGAGGGAAGGTGGGAGATGCAGTCGGAGTGGCCCCCGGGGACAACGGTGGGTCCCCGGCCTTGTGCTAATATGTGCATCCAGAAAAGGGCAGGATTCAGTGAGTTCCATCACACTAGACTCTACACAGAGAACACAGAACAATTTGAGGGCAAATAAAACGAATGCCCAAATGGTAATACATCTCTGGAGGGCGATTTGAGATGACCTATATGTCCAATTCACTTCTTAGTTCCTTTTCATGTGAATATAAACTATATGATAGTCGTAACACATTATCTTCTCCCTAAAAAATCAGCAGGTTTGTCTGATGAAAAAATGTGCTAGCCAGCAGTGTGAGGGAAGGCAGGACAGAACGGGGCTGTCTTCCGGTATCTGCTCTCTGTATCTTCCAGATTTTTGGCTGGGCACATGGCTGCCCACAATAAAGTTTACATTTCCCTTTCCTAGCCTCCCCTGCAGCTAGGTACAGCCGTATCATTAACTTCTGGTCAACAGAAGAACATAGACAGAAGGATCTCTAACTTCCGAGAAATGTCTTTAAAGTCGTGACACTATTATCATCCCAACTGGGGCACATCCCAGTGAAAAGTAGTGCTGACATAATTTTAAATGTATACTTTTTGAAATCTGTATTTATTAACTAGCCGTTGATTTTATTATATTGGTGGACTTGTTAACTAGTTCCATTCAAAAACTGTTTTCAAAAATAAAATTTCAAAGGAAATAAAAATAATATATACCCATTAAAACAAAATAAAAAAACCTTTATACTATTTCAATATTAAAAAAAAGCAGAGGAATAGTTGTTCTTGGTACATATTCATGTACTTTGTTTCTTAGCTGTGTCTGTCTCTAATACAGTGTAACTGGCATATTTTTCTGCAGAATGTATTTTTTAAAATATGGCATTTTAAAATAAAACTGCCAGCAATATTCTTCACAGTTGCATTTTATGATTACTTATTTTGAAATTACTGATATCTTTAAGTGATTCTTATTGGTAGTCTACCATATTTTTGAGAAAATGCTCTTTCTTTGAGTTACCTGGTAAGGTCAGGGCAAATTTGCTAAATGGAGGAGATAATTCTAATTTTTTAAATATTGAAGAGTGTAACTATTCCAGCCCAAATATTTGCAAGGCATTGTCTTTTGATTCCCTTCAGAGTATCTTTCTTTGACAAATACTTTCATAAGACAAAACACGATAAGTAAATTGTCTCTATGATACTTTTGAATGTTTTGCCAAAATTAGATGCTGCAAAATTAAAGACCTCCTCGCTTCATTTCATGTGTGTGTGTGTGTGTGTGTGTGTGTGTATGTGTTACTTATTCAAAACAGAACACCCAAAAGATCCTTTTTGCAAAGTAGATATTCGAAATCACAATTACAGAATTGAAAATTTTAATCTTGTACAGCATTTGTGCTCTTACTATTTATTTTGTTCAGTTCCTTCTTTGTTTTTGTAGGGAGAAATTCCAATGGAAGCTTTGTTTTCATTAATTGTAATTCCCTAAAAGGTCCATTCATTGAACGCTTTAAGATTTCCAATCGATTTTGAACAAAATGTCCCCAAATTTTGACAACCATTTATAACAGAGTTCAATATCATTGCTGGTATAAAGATTTCTAAAATCGGATTGATGATAGGGACAAAGAGAGAAGGTATATACTGCGGTGCTAAAGTATATTTTTGTATCCAGCATCAACAATATCCCCCAAATCTTACAGTTTAGAGACTCTGACTATAAAGGTATTTGTAAGCTTTTATAACAACACCTTCTATTTCAGTCAGCAGAATATTGACACGTTTGGGTGCACTTATGAATTATGGGTAAGACACAACCAATTCCAAACACTCGACAGGTTTCTCAAGGTAGTAAGAACACTGTTTGTACCACAACAGCATGTGTACTTCACCAAAATTTGTACTTGTACTATTAAAAACTAATAACTTCATCTTCCATTTGACCTTTTAAACTGAATTTCCGATCTCATTCATAATGGTCTTATACCTCTGATAGAATGTACTTCCGAAAGCTTTGCCTTGATCCCATGACTGGATGGAGTCAACTAAAATGATTTGATCACTTGCAGTATTGATAACATTCAGCTAAGCCTGGAGTTACTTAACTGTTTCCCAAGTTCCTCTTCTGCCGAGGGAACCAAGAAGCACAAAGCTATTGCTCCCCTTTCCTAGGTGCACATAAAAACTGGTAGTTGAAAATAACCGAAGTTAATTTAGAAGAACAGGTAATCTTCTCAATTAAAGTTAGGCTCACAGAGTGGTATGCATACGTATCTTCTGTGGCTACACGTGGTAAGTCACCTTGAGTGAGTCTCCCACCCACCAGCTTTGAACGTGGATCCTGACACTTACTTGGTCAGTAGGTGCGATGCGTCTTGTTTCCACGGGGCCAGTGACACCACTACGTCCTCCACAGTCAATGATTAGTGCATGCCACAAACATTCTGTGCAAGTTACCCATTCCTTACCAACTTTATCAGGAACCAAAAATTCAGTACTTTTCAACAATGAAATATATACTTCTATTTTCTGAGCTTACTGCTGCCAAAAGGGCTCATTGCAAAAATGAAGTGTCACCCAACGATGAAACAGTTGTAGGTTTGCATCATACAAGCGGCCGTGCTCCGTCTCCTCTCGACAGCCCTGCACAGAACTGATCAGCCTCGATTTACCCGACACATTTCGTGGACCCTGAACCTCCAACTTACTGTTTCCCACTGAGCTAGTGGACTGGCACCTGGTGGCTTTGTGGCTCTTGCAGGCCATGCACAGGACACGGTACAGTTGGGTGGTCCCCCAGGCGAGCAGCTTGGGCATGACTCAAATGAGACAGGAAGGAGCTGACTGTGCCTCGTTCAGCGTGCTTCCTTGTCGCAGCAACTGCCCTGCGTTCTGTGCTTGCCTGGGAGCTGTCTGAAGGGGCTGGGAGAAGAGATGAGCTGCTGTTCATTGTCTTGCAGATTTAACAATACCTTAACGTGAGAACCCTCTCCGCTGGACGTGAGCCTCACACAGTAGTAGCCAATACCGGACAAAAGCTGAAGCAGAGGCTGAAAGTATTAAGTGGAGATCTATGAAGCCCATTGTGGCTTATTCTAACACAATTATTAGTACTCACTCTTTGTTAAAAAATGAAGAATCCAGGAAAAATGCTAAGTCAAACGGGACTCCGGGACAGCAGGCTTATTCTGAGACTGCCCTGATTAAACCAGATGTAGCCTTGCCGGACCTGCAGGGGAAGGAGATCTGCCTTTCCTCCTCCTTCCCTCCTATTGACTGGACTGAGGATGTGATGGCGACTATTCTGGGGCATGAAATGGTAAGAGGGACGGCGAAGCAGGGTGACAAAGGGGCTTGGGCTCCCAGCTGTGCAGAATTGCCGCACCAACCTCAGCACGCCAAGTCCCGGGTGTTTTTACATGAGAAAAAATAAACTCTCATCTTGTTTAGGCCACTGTTATTTTGTAGCTAACCTTTAATTCTAACTGATATATAAGGAATACCTCTAGAATCTTTGATACTATATGTATCAAGAGCATGAAAAATGTATCTTAAAGATATAATCTGGAATGAGGAAAACTGATGTGTAAAGATACTGCTATTTATGATAAAAAAAAATTAGAAGCAATCTAAATTCAGAATATGAGGGACCTGTTAAAGAAATGATATGACATCTAAATAAATGAATACTATGCAACCATTAAAGAGTTTGTGAAAAATGTTAATAACATGGGAAAATGCCCACATCATAACAGGAAGTGGGAAAAAATAGGCAGGATTTTAAAAAAAACTTACACATGCAAGTTCTCAGCTGTCATAAAAAAAAATCTGCCTATATAAAGTAGGAATAAACAGCAGCAAAACAGACTGAAAGGAAATACATCATATTGGCTTACAGTGAATATCCCTGGATAGTGAGAGCATTGATAACATCTATGTATACCTTCTTTATGTTATTATTTAACAGTATCCTATGGTTAACAAATAATTCTTCTATAACTAGAAAAAAAATCATTTCAAAACTCTTTCCTAGCATTTGCCAGTTTTGTGATCACCACCAGTTTTACTGAGCATTCCACGTGTGGGGAGCTGGGGCGCAGGGTGCACAGACCTCCTCGGCCTCCGCAGGGACCAAAGCCGCCTAAAGGCATCCAGCTGCAAGCGAACCCCGCCCGGCTTTACCTTGGTGTTCTGTAGCAGAGCTAGTCCGTTGCAGGCATTTGCTAGAAGGAAGTCTCCACTCAGGATAGCTACTTTATTTCCAAACTGCATGTCTTTCAGTGGCCCATCGGAAGATTGCAGTTCATTTAAATTTACTATCCCACGATGCACCAGGAGAGCAGTATGGATAAGTTCTGTGATCTCTGCCAAACTTCTTTGACTAAAACATAAAGGTAAGACTTGTCTGAGTGTCGCAATACCATCTTATCACAAACGTGCGACCACACTTTTCGACAATGAAGTATTTTAATGATTCGTCTCTCTCTCTCTCTCTCTCTCTTTTGGATGATTCCTTTTTGATGGAGTTCCTGAGTAGTTTGGGGACTTGTAAGCAGATCTTGACATGTTCCTTCTCTAAAACATTCCTTACCCTCTAACCCATGAGTAACAGGATTCCCCAGAGAGAAGCTCTCAGGTGGAGGCCACCCTCCACAGTTCCTCTTAGATACTTGGTTCTCAGCATACAGCTACTTCTGTAACGCAAGGATTTCTGAGAATCCTTACTGGCATTCCACAGAACTCCAGTCTAAGTGGGAACATAACCAGAGTCAGACATTAATTAAGCTAAACACTTTCACACTTTATCTGTTTTACCCTAAATACAAAGCTGTGAGATTTACAGAGATGTATAAAGTGCGGTCTCTTCCTTCAAGGACCTTACTTTTCAGAATAAGAAACAAGAGAAATACCACCTATATCAGATAGGATTTCTTTCAGGAGATGTTTCTTTTTCTTTTTTTTATACTTTTCTATAGTTTGTACATTTTGCACAATAACAAAACTATTACTTTTGTAACCATAAAAAGTCAACAATACTAAAAATTTTAAACCTCACAACCACCCTTTGGTACGTATAATGAACCCCTTTTGATAGGTGAGAAAATTGTTGCCCCTGGTTAAAGGGCTGGCCCAAAGGTATACAGTAGGGCAGAGAGGGAAATCTGTTGGAATCTGTTACAAATGGCCCCAGGTGCATCATGCCTCTTTGTTTCCATGCTTTCTAGTTCCCTCCACACTAACTCTGGGCTTGGCTACAGAACTTACTTTGGCTAAAAAGACATTAGCAAATGTGACATAAGTGCTTATGTATTAAGGCTTGGACAGTGTGGTCACAGAAAGACCCGGGCAGAAGAACCAGCCAGTCAGCCCACAGAATGTTAAGAAATAAAACAGATGTTTCAAGTCACTAAATTACAGGGTACTTTGTTGCGCAATAATAGTTATCTGACCCAAATACTGGTATGATATGGAAACGAGGGTGCTGCTCAACAAAAGCCTAAAATATGTGTCAGTGGCTGTGGGTCTGAATGGTGGGGGCTAAAGATAAAGGCTGAAAAACGGCAAACAGTAGAGCTGGAGAGGCAGTGAAGACACTGTTACTGGAAGACTGAGAAAGGACACACTGGGTTGTAAGACTGGGCAACAATTGGCAGAAGTGTTTCTTGTGGTAACTTGAAAGACAGAAAAATACATCTACTAAGTCTGTGGATCTGGATAAGATTTTCAGGCAGAACGCGGAACATGGCAGCTGGATTCTTGCAGCTGCATCTAATAAGGCATAAAAGAAGATGAGCTGAAGAGAGAACTGTTCAGTTGGGAAGCACAGTGCAGAGGAACAATAAAGGAGCAAAGACCTGCTAGTTTGAAAATAAAACTGTTTCATTTCCAGTCTCTCTGGAAAAAGATTCTGAAAGTAAGAAATGGTATTAGGAAAAAGACCAAATCTACTAGAAAACCTACTGTAAGGACCTAAAATTTTCAGGTGATGTCTAGTAGAACCCATAGCTAGACAAAAGGTCTCTTAAGAATTTTAAGGGTATTGTCCCATAGCAGTCACAAGCCCAACCTGAAGTAGAGAGGTCTACGATTACTAGCATGAAATTGAATCAGTGATCAAGAAACTCCCAATAAACAAAAGTCCAGGTACAGATGGCTTCACAGGTGAATTCTATCAACCATTTAAAAAAAAGTTAATGCCTAGCCTTCTCAAACTATTTAAAAAAATTGAAGAAGAAATGCTTCCAAACTGATTCTGAGTCCAGCATTACCTTGATACCAAAACCAGGCAATGATATAAAAAGAAAAGAAAATTATAGATGATGAACAGATATGCAAAAATCCTCAACACAGTACTAGCAAACCAAATTCAACAATATAGTAAAAGGCTCATACACCATGATCAAGTGGTATTTATTCCATGGATGCAAGGATGGTTCAACATTGACAAGTCAGTCAACATGATATACCACATTAACAAAAAGGACAAAAATCATATCATCATCTCAATAGATACAGAAAAAGCATTTGATAAAATTCAACATACATTTATTATAAAAACTCTCAACATAATAAATATAGAGGGAATATACCTCAACACAATAATGGTCACACATGACAAACCTACGGGTCACATTAGCTGAACCAATCAGGGAGGATCAGCAAGAATTAACGATGGCCGCTCTCTCCACTTTTATTCAACCTAGTACTGGAAGTCCTAGCCACAGAAATTAGATAAGAAAAAGAAATAAAATCTACATCCAAACTGGAAAAGAAGTAAAACTGTCACCATTTGCAGATGACATGATACCATACATAGAGAACCCTAAAGACTCCCGCCAAAAACTATTAGAATTAAATGAATTCAGTAACGTTGCAGGATACAAAAGTAACACACATAAACTGGTTACACGTCTATAGACTAATAATGAACTTTTGTTTGAAGAATCTGAAAGACAAATTAAGAAAACAATCTCATTTACAATTGCATCAGAGAGAGTAAAGTAGCTAGGAATTAAGTTTAATCAAGGAGGAGATATCAAGCTAATAAGTTTAACCAAGTATATGCTAGATATCAAGTCATTTCATCTGAAAGAGAACTGTACTCTGAAAACCATAAGACACTGATGAAAGAAACTGAAGACGACAAAAATAAATGAAAAGATATACCATGCTTATGGATTAGAAGAATATGACCAAATAAAATGACCAAACTACCCCCCCAAAATCTACAGATTCAATGCTATCAAATATGGCATTTTTTTTTGCAGAACTAAAACAAATAATTCTAAAATGAGTATGGAACCACAAAAGACCCTGAATAGCCAAAGCAATCTTTGAGAGAACAAAGCTATAGTATCACACTCCCTGATTTTCAAGTATATTACAAAGATACAGTATGGAACTGGCACAAAAATAGACACATATATCAATGGAACAGAATAAAGTCTGGAAATAAACCCATGCTTCTATGGTCAATTAATCTTTGACAAAGAAGGAAATGAAACTGAAGATTGATCAATGTTTTTACAAGAATTTTCACCAAATAACTTTCTTTCAGTTAGATGTTGAGTTTGATGCTTTGATCCATTTTCTTCCAACATTCCTCCACGTTTTTAGCCTCCTAAACTTTCTAAGTGAGGGTGAAGGCATTGCCAGCCACCTACGCATTCTTTCCTTCCTCACTACCAACATACCTTTGAGTACACTTGGGGTGACAAATGACCTCACTTAAATACACTCACCTCTCCGAGAGCCCCTGAGGCTAGAGGTGATCGTGTAGCACTGCCTGGCCAAAGGTTAGGCAGATACCCACGAGGTGTAGTTTCTGGGAAATCTGCTGAGTTCCTGATATAAAGGGACAGATTCCACTGGTGTGTACCGCTGGCATTCTGGGCTTCCCCCTTCTCCTGCCTGGAATATGGCCCAGCTGCCTGGGGACGCAGCAAGACTTCAGGATCCTGGAGGGCCCCAAACTCAGGACGGTAGAGCAGGAAGAAAGAAGCCTGGGCCCCTGATGACTTACTTCTTGGGGAGCCACTAGCTGTGATGTGACCATCTCTAGACTACTCATCGCCTGACATAAACACTGCACTCTTTTAAGCTAGTGTTTGTCAGAGACCTGTTACATGCAGCTAAATAAATTCCTGAAAGATATGGTCAATAAAAATTATATCACAAAAATGGCAAAGACATTTTATGTTCCTATTTCTGCACTCTGGTTTTATTCATGAATATTATCTCTCAGAGATAGTTCCACATTATTTACAAACAGAAACTCCTTGCTCTATTTAACATCTCTAGAGAGGTCCATTGTGTGGATGCATGTGCCGTACAACTGCTGCTGCTATAGGGTGAGTCACAGATACATTTTGTTAGAAAAATTTTAAAGAATCAGTCCATGCGTTACTTCTTCCCAGAGTTAACCCTTTCTGCGTTTGAAAGCCTTTGACTAAAGCTCAGTCTTATTATATATAATTCTTTCTTTAGCCATCTATCTTCCAGCCATCTCTCTCCCTCACTATATTGTAAGTTATATTATACGACTTCCCTAGGCTGCCTATAAATATTTGCTAAATGAGTAACTCTTTACTTAGCAATCAATTTTATAAAGGTATAGGGGACTGTTACCATTCTTAGTTTCAAAAGGGAAGGAATGACATAAACTAAAAAGTCAGGTTTATAGAATCTGAGCTTGAAGTGACCCCAGAGGTCAATTAACCTCATTTGGCCCCTTTGAGGAATGAGTGATAACTACCTCGGCGGAGCCAGGTCTGCTGATAAATAGGTTTAATTATCAGAAATTGTTCCTCATATGAACTTGAAATCCCTTAGAACATTTTACACGTTTATGTTGCTGTTATAAGAGAAGAGTCGTGTTTCCCCACACAGGCAAGAGAGATAAAAGACAATGGGGTCCTTTTCTTACTCCATTTATTCCCTTTTCCTTCCTCCTTCCCTCCATGCTTTCCTTCTTTGGAGAAGTTTACAAATCCCAGAAGTATATAGAATAACGTAACAAATGCACCCTATTCCATTTGGAAATAGCAAAGGTCTACACTTTTGTCATTTTTAACAGTTTAAAACATGCATTAAAGAAAAACTTTTATTTGGAAAATTTTCCATCATGCAAAAGTGGAAAATACAGCAAAGAGAACCTCTGTGGACCCCAATCTATGTCAGTAATGCCTTTCATGCTCTCTGCAGATTATTTTGAAGTACACGCTAGATATCAAGTCATTTCATCTGAAAATACTTCAAATATCCCATTTTTAAAAGTGCCTAATAGAGATTACGGCTCTCACTTATTAAATTATTCATTACTAAAAATGAAAAGATCAGAAAGTAATTATTAAATGGATTTATTAATTACTTTGAGCCAAT